CGTGGATTAAAAGTCTGTCTTAGCCACCTGTAACCTGCTGCTAACGCATCTGGCCTGCAGGCGTTGTGCCGTCTCCTCCTCTGACATCCATCAGCTGCCAAAGGCTGCGTTACATTTACAAACAGTTACATTTCACTTTACATTCAGATGAACTTCCACGTTGTCCTTCATGATAACACGTTGCCTTTAAAACTGCATCTTTTGCACATGTTTTAAAGGAGACTTGTTAGCGTAGCTTAGTATAAGTCACAGTTCAAACTAATCCATCTTTTTGTTACAGTGTCTTAGTTTAACTCCTGGTGCTCTCGAGGCTGCTGCAGGCCTTTGTCTCACTCTCCTGTCTCTGCCCTCATCATCCTCACCGTGCAGCACATCTTTAAGCTCGGCGTGTGAGAGCCCACGGGGTCAAGGTGTCCCACAGAAACCTCCTTGTGATGTCATTTGTCTGCTCGTACACAAACTTTCATTGAGGGTCATTTAACCCCCATCCTGCTCGCCCGTGCTGACTGTGCTGATCCAAGGATAAAAACCTGTGATAAAATGTAGCCTGAGCTTGGATTACTGTAAATACGCTGAGCTCATTATTATTAACTTCAAACGTTCAATGGGAACGTCCAACGCTGCAGCAGGAGATACACGTCAGGAAGTGCGGAAAAGAAACCTGAACGTTGAACTGATCATTCTTTGTTTTTAGGAAAAGTCCCGGTCACGTGGCTGACCACGTCCCGGCCCCAGCTCTGTGCTTCTGTGATGATCTAGACGGAGCGTGCAGCGAGTCTGCAGCGAGACGTTCAGCCTTCCTGTTCAGCGCCCCCTCCTCTGTCCTAGATTGGGCTCATTTCTCTGAGTCTGCTAATTTTACCCAGGCTCTGACCCACTTGGTGAATCTTTCCTGCTACTCGGCAGCACTTGTAGTCGAGCCTGAAGCGCACACACACACACAAACAAACACACCCCACTCTGCGGAGTGTTTGGACTCGACGGTTGGCCGAGCGATCGTGTTGTGACTGCGTTCGTTAAACTACTGAAGGTGACACTGATGCTGTCGGGCACAGTCGGCTCGTAGCTCGGCGTGCAGCCAATCAGAGCTCTGAGTTTATTATGAAACTGAGCAGTTGCACTGCAGCTGGACTTCCTGACGTTTCAGTATCAGGTGGATAACACCCCTAAAACCTTTCTGGGCTTTTCTCAGGGGTTTGTACACTTTTACCAGCTGTTGTAAAAGTGATCGCACAGCTGGGTGCAGGTGTGTGCAGGTGTGCAGCTCACAGGTCTTAGGTTGGTCGGGAGGACGTAGGCTCAGCATTAATAACGCTGTGATGAAAGGCTACTTGTTTTGGGACAAATGTCGCGGCGGCGTTTCCGGCGCTTCGCCTCGTCCCGTTTATTTAAACGGCTGATGAGTTACCAGGTAAAGCTCGTGTAACGTGATATTAACAAGCAGGCCTGCAGTTATGAAGGTGAATATTAGATCATGCACAGGTGGGTTCTGCCAGAAAACTTTGTTAGCTGCAGCGCTGCTGGGATGTTCATGGAGTGTGGTCCACCAGTACAGGCAGCTATGTCTCTGCACTGGTTTGCCTTCTTTTGACTGGTTCCATTCCATGTTTCTGTCCTCAAAGCTTTAAAAATGGTTTCCCTCACTGATCTGTGCCTCGCTGCAGTTCAGCGGCGGCCTACAGGGACCAGAGATAAGATGGGATGTCCTGTATCGATCCTCGTATTGATCTCATTCTTTGTACTTAATCCAGTAAAATCAGCACCACGAGTAACTGACTGACTGGATGACGTTCAGTTACCTGAAGCAGAAGCTGCATCCGATATGACGCCTCGCCACGGCGTCACTCCGCTGTCGTTTACAGCTGTTTGTGTGATTTGTCAGTGGGCCGTAAACGGCGCCGTATGATCGGTTTATCACATGAGCAGCAGGACGCTGAGAGTCCAACAGCTGAGAACATGACACAGCGCTGAGTGGATGGGACACACCTTTATTACCGGGTGTAACGAGGCTCACCTGTGCTTTTTACACCTAAGACGTCTGACCTCATAACAAACATCGTCTGATCCAGAGGACGGCGTATCAGGTGCATCGTCTCAGGTTCTGCGCTAACGTACGATCAGGTTTAGTTTCTTCTGCACCTGTAACGGTGCTGATGGTCCAGTCCTGGGCTGTTCATGGATCTCACGACGATGTTTGCTCTTTATTTCCTGCTGTAACAGAAAAATCTATCTGTGATAGTGTGGAGCATAGAGCGTGTCCTGTATATGTCCAACAGGTGAGTTACAGGTGAACATGCTCCGCCGTGCAGCTGTTATGAAGGAGAATTATCTACACAGAGCAAACAGTTTGTGTATCCGGCTGTAAACATGTTTATTCTGCTGTGAAGTTTGAACATGAGTCTGTGGGGCTGACTCACTGCTGCCTCTGCTGGCCGTCAGAGGAACTGCAGATGTTTGGACTTCACGTGTCTGAAGGTTGATGCTCAGTTGAAGCTGTAGCGGTGCTGCGTGGTACGAAGGTTTGTGGTCATCGTACTCGTGTAGAAGCGTCTCTGAGGTGGACGACACGCTCCGTCTGCCTCAGTAATCCTGAATTTCCCCCCGTGGACGTGATTTCCTGCCGCTCGGCGCCCGTCGCGTCGTCTCACGTCTGGTTGAACCTGAAAGTCTCGTGTCGTGTCTCCTGGCAGTTCTCAGGTTAGCAGAGCTGCAGGTTGCTGTGTGATCTCCAGGCTCTGAACTCAGCCTGCAGGTAGTTTTTACTGAGCTGCTGTTACAGGAAGACCTCGTAGTTTCAATTCATGTCGTGAATAAAAGGCTGCAGTCACCACGTAACGTTTTCAATGTTTTGCTGGCGTGTCCGTCCCTCCACAGTACCCCCCACCCTGCATGTTTTTATTGCACATTAGCTTCTGGTTCAGCTCAGCGTGTCTTAAACATGCTGTTTAGTTTTTATAAGCAGAGGATTAAAAAGGCCACACAGACCTGGGATCAGCGTGCAGAAGCATGAATCAGAAGTTTATTGATCCCTAAATAAACACAGATATGGGTCAGATTTCAGCTCAGGCTGCAGTCGCAGGTCTGACTGGCCCACTGCCCCAAATCTGAGAGCTTTACTTTGTGTTCAGAGAATTTTTATCCTCTTTAAACGGCGTCCGCGCTGCTGTTACTGCTGTGTGAGCGCCTGGCAACTCCAACCAAACCGTCAGCCAATCGGAGCCTCTGACAGTAACGAGTAAATGTAATTAAGTTACTCTCAGCGGTCTACTTTACACCTTTTTACTTTAGTGTCATCGCTCAGCACCACCTTCCAA